GGGAGAAGGTGAAGGAAGGATTTGAGCAAGACATCACATAGGGTTCGTACCCCATGTGTTTATATGTGAGCAGATGCATACCAGTAGGGCTTCAAAGCTTTATCCTATCGAGGCAAAAGAAACAACAAGACACTCATTTAATATGAACCCAATATATAAATATATATATGTATATATATATCACATGCATCAGAATTCTTATATCAACTGATCACCTCCTCAAGGAAACATGTGGGATGTGGTACAGGCTTCTGCTCATTGCATTTGACTGAAAGCATCAAACCCCATCTTCCACTTTGACTACTCTGCAAGCTGTTCCATTGTCGACCACCAGCAGAAGCTCGATGACAGCGAGCATAGCGTTGGAAAAGTGGAGAGATATGCATATACAATTGAAGTGGAGCTCTTCTTCTCTTGCCTCGCAGAAAACGACATGCTGAATCGATCCACATTGATGCGCTCTGGTTTCATGCATGTTACCGCTACTCATAGAGGGCAGCAAAAGCCTACCTTCTTGTACAAGTTAGCATCGCCTCCTTCCAGGAGTTATCATTTCATCTCTACTAAATGGGAGACTGGTAACACAAATGACTCATCCTCACATACATTTCAACCATGATCGACTGTCCCAGCCGTGATGAACTTTATTGCAGGTCTCCTCCATATGATGAAGTCCCTGCCAAACCATAACCTGGTTTTGCTACTCTTGTTGTATGCTTCTGCTGTGATTTATGAGGACTGAGATGAAAAGAAACTGGACACTGCTATGTTGTGAGCTTGTGTGAAGTGCATGGCTTGCCGAGTGCAAGAAAGAACCCTAATAGAAACCCTAGATAGGGTGCCCTCATCACCTTAAGTCAGACACAAGGACGCTTCTGCATGAGTTCATTGCATTAACTCAACTATCTCACTGATTTAACCTCTCAGGATGCATTAATACTCCACCGAAATGTTGATTTCTTGCATCTGCTTAAGCCAAATCTCTGAAAGCATGCAGCTTTTTCTTGAAGTAATCAACATCATCCTCAACTTCTGCACACATCTTGACGTAATATCAAATTTCTACTCCTCTTAATCCATCAAAATTGGCCATGGTTCCTCCTAAACTAATATACATCAGAGTGGTGAATCATTACTGTGTGTCATTGCATACGGTGATCACCATGTCAGCTGAATACAACTAGTCTTTCAATTGCATCTAAAAGACAAATACTGTGGACAGGCCCGTTAATCAATACAGGACAAGCCCAATTCCCTTCCTCGAATTAACAAATACAATATCAATAACTTTTACAAAAAGAGTTCATCATATAAAATCTATAAGAATACGTGTAATTATCATTCGCATATACATAACATTAATAAGACATTTGTCGTTGTTATTGGTTGTGTGTAATATCATTAACGGATATATATATATATCAATCGTATATGCAAGTTAGCAGGAGAAATTACTTGTACAAAGTTATCAAATTGACTATGTTTTGTGTAAGAACAGCACACACTGTTCTTCCATAAGTCATAGCTGGATCTAAAAAATTATATCATTCCTCGATCAAAGTTGATCTTCAATTAAAATTGGTCAAACATTAGTCAAATTTACCATGGATTAAGTTCATCTCAGATTTATGTTATCCGTTGATGTAAATTTGATACTCTTTGAGCGAAGCTGATGTTTTACATTTAAAATAATAATTTATTGGTTACTTACTATAAAGAGTGTTCCTCGAGGAGTATTTTTGACATCGGGCTGTGGAGAGAGAAGCTGTTCATCAACAATTGATCATTTTAGATGACAAATAGATTCCAGCAAGTGTGTCTTGGCTTCATGTAACCAAACATATTAGGTTTGTACATGTATGAAAAGCAGTTGATCCATTGAGACAACCTTGATAGAAGATAAGATTTCCCCAACTTGATAGAGGATAAGATTTCCCCAATTATATGAGGAAATCTCTCTATTCTGTTTATTGAGAGAAATCCTTCCTCCTAATTTGTATAAATAGGAGAGCGAACATGTTAATAGATTCAAGCTAAAGCTATTTCATTTCTACAATAAAGCTTCTTCAATTATTGTTCTTATATTCTATTATTTCTATCATGGTATTAGAGCAGTGAGAAAAGCGAAACTTCGCTCTTGCCTTTGGCCAACGACCAACGTCGCTGAGAAAAGCGAATCTTCGCCCTTGTCCGACCAACGTCGCTGAGAAAAGCGAAACTTTGCCCTTGTCTTCGGCCAGCGACCAACGCCGCTGCAGCCACATTCCTGAGAGGCTTCACGGCAAATCCTCATCTTCCTCACCGCGGTAGTCTTCGCTGATCTGCCAACAGTTGGTGGACTTAAGGAGAAGGAAGGGCGGATGTAAGGAGAACGAAGGGAACGCCTGTGCCCTCACAGCAACAGCAATCGCAACAGCAACAGCGATCTGCTCTTGCCCTACTCACGAAGCCTCTTGCTTTAAACCATTCTTTGCATCGATCCAAGATTGGTATCCTTGTTAGGAGCACCATCTTGCGGGGGCATAATAGAAGATAAGATTTTTCCAACTTGATAGAGGATAAGATTTCCCCAATTATATGAGGAAATCTCTTTATTCTGTTTATTGAGGGAAATCCTTCCTCCTAATCTGTATAAATAGGAGAGGGAACATGTTAATAGATTCAAGCTAAAGCTATTTCATTTCTACAATAAAGCTTCTTCAATTATTGTTCTTATCTTCTATTATTTCTATCAAACCTTTACGAAGATCAGCAACATTCTAGCATTAGAGTGCTTGTGATTTCACCTTTACTTGCTTACCCAGCATGCAGCTATTGCCTGATGGATGTACAAGGATAATCCCCTGGAAGCTGATGAAAGAAAGAATTGAACTGATTTCAAGGAACAACAATCATCTGTTGTTTCCCAAAGTCCACTGTTTTTAAGATCCTCATTGACCATGGCAACAAAATAGTACCAAGTATGAACCCTTTTGGTCGTGGCAACTGAGATGATTCTGAAGCATCAATCCATTAGGCTACTCCCCTTCCCATTTCCTAGAATATTGCTCCTTGATCTTTAATGGGTTTTTCGCAACAAACCATTTTAATTGTTTGCAAATGGATCTTAGTTGAAAGAGAGTGTTCTGATCGACCCTCGTCTGTGATCTTCTAGAGTCCTGCAAGTCCAGAACACCTGCTTCTCCAATGCCTTTGAAGCTGAAGCTGGTCCAGCGGACTTCGAATCTCTTTGGATCTTCTTGGAGAAAACTTGGTTTCTGAACAAAGCATTTGTATACGATGGAAAGGATTCAGGATGACATGGTGCTTGAACATTTGTTTGGAAGAACAAAGAAGGAAGCTGTAGAGAGCCATCATCATTAAAACTTACAACTGTAAGGTTCTGAACATTCAGACAAGCCGAATCTCCATGGAAGTTGCAAAACAAAAACCACAAGGAATGAGATAACTTTCTCTTCTTGAGATTCTCCTCAGTAGGAATGTAAGAATTCTAAAAATGAAGGGAAGGTTGCTGTCAAAAGGTTCTATTCTTTCTGGTTATCAGATGTTAGCCCTAAACTCGATCGTCGACTGGAATCATAATGACAACCTGACCTGATTCCAAGCCAAGACAGACATAAAAACAAAAATGACTATGGCTGGCTAATAACCATTCTGCCAAATAGAAATTTTGGTAATTCCATTGTGAAGAGGTATTATTCAGTCACTAGGAAAGATTTCTATCTAGTAAATGTGTTCAAATAATTTATAAAGCTGGTTTTTAGCATCAACACAACTCGATCCAAACTCATTTCACTACAAAAAAAAATTTAGGAAATCACTATGGCTCCTCAAAGAAAATTTATCAGTAATTGCAATCAAGCTTATAAAAAGTAAAAAAGAAACCCACTGATGTACAAGAAAAAGAAACAAAACTATTTGAGTGTTATTATCAGTTCTTTTTATAATATGGCATTATAAAATGTTAGTGAACCTCCAAGCAAATTTTTAATTATTTTGTCAAGGCCATATTGGGTAACTAATTTACCATTTTGTTGGGTTTCAATCATGAGCCCAAAGTACTCAAGTCCATATTTTAGGGGTAGATCCATTTAAATCCCATGAGTTCATTTAATTTTTTTTTTATACTTTTGATGTGGAGCTAATCAAGACATTATAATCTCCACTACTTAACATCATCATCAATCATATGGTATACTTTTAGTCCTATCCACAAATAGTATTTATTTAATACTATATCATTTTTGGATATCAATTATCGTGACGTAGCTCGATGAATAACTAACCTATTAATTTTTAATTCTAAATTATTTTCTCGAAATATTAGTAAACTGATTCAGCTTTCATAAATTTATTCAATTTTTTTTTTAATATATTTTCAATGTGAGACTAACCCAAGTATTTATTATACACACAAAATATAAATTTGATTGTTTAGACACATCTATTCTACTGAGAAAAGCAGTAAATCCATAATGCCACTTCAATCTTTAATTTGTTTTCTTTAACAAGTCCCAATTACATTTAGATTATCATAATGCCTTCAGCTTGACATAGAGATGAAAAGCTTAAGAAGCCGGGTGGGTATTTGTCTCTGTGGATGTCGGGCTACAGTGAAAGTACAACCCCACCCCCACCGAAACCACAGTAGCCACAATGAAAGCTCCCATGAGCTTCCTGGTGTTGGACAGTTCATCTTCCAATCGACCCATCTTAAGCTTCATCTTCCTTAGCCTGATTCCAGCACCATGGCAAGTCGCTAGAGCTGCTGCATCTATGCCCTTCTTACCTTCTTCAGGTTGATCCTTTCCTGTAACCTTCTCTGCGTTCTTTGTCTCTATGAGGTGATCCTTCACCTTCTTCTCCTCCTCCACATGTGTTGCATCAGACATTTCGCACTTGTTCTGTTCTTGTTGTTTCCTGCAACTGCATTTTGGCTCAAGAGTTGAAGTTGCACCTTCTTTCTTGCTAGCATCATGTGTTGGCTCATCTTTCACGGTCGCTTTGGCTTAGTTGGTGAAGTTCGCAAGCACAATACAAAGGACTTCGTCCTTAAAACTCACATGCATGTTGTTGATGTTATAGTTCTCCGGCGCTTGCAGTTCCTTGCGGAAGCGGCTCCACCAGTTGTCGAATAAGGGACGCCGTCCACTAACAGTTATCTTTCCATCGGTGCTGAATTCAACATTGAGTTGTTCCTTGAAGAAGCCTATATATGCATGGTGCGTTAAAAAGAACAAATACTACTGATGAAGAGGCCACCTTCTACCTCATGAAATATGATGCCTTCATGAAATCTCATAACAAAACTGAAGGGCGTAAGATCTACAGAATCAATCAAATTGAGAGAGAGAAAGCATGCCTGGGAGATGAATCAGGTACTTCTCTGCTCCTTCCATTTCAATTTTTTGGTGCGGAGGGATGATTTCATCATAGATATTCTGTCAGAGAGTAAATAAGGCATGTATATATGCACCCAACGTCGATGGAAATAAAAGATCAACAACAACATTATTGGACAGGGAGGTCTATTGTCATGCTCTAGACCTCTTGAACCCTACAATTGAGTTCAGTTGCCTTAAGAAAGATAGTAACTGGCGTGAGTTTTTGTGTTGAAGGATAGTAGTCTAGCTCTATTGTATGCTGTAAAAAAGTATATATATATATATATATATATATATATATATAGCAATAGTTTTTGATATTTTTCAGAATAAAAAATAGCAATAGTTTAGATAAAAGCCTCATGAAATTCTTGCGACTATTTAGAAATTTTAAAAAATAAATTATCATTCAAATTAGGATTTTGAAAAGCTCCGATGTCAAACTTAACAGTTACTTCGAAAGCAAAAAAGAAATGGTCACGTCAAGATCTTTAAAAAGTTTTTAGGCACAAAATACTTACAGGTTTTTTCCGTGTTTCCATGTGAGGCTGTTTGCATTGATGTTTGCATCGCTGTTTGCATGTGTCCATTTTTCCAAGTGGAGTAATTGTAGTGCAATAGGTGGATGAAGATGGACACAATTCAAGAGCTTTATATATATATATATATATATAGCTGTGCAGAGTGAGGAAGTCTCTTGGCTTATGCTCAATGGAGAAGCATATAGCTAATGCTGTTTCTTGTGGTATACCTCCACAGTTGTCTCGAAGTTATTCTATTTTCATAGGGCTTCCACTTGGATCACCTCATCGCAAGGGAAAGGGAGGTTCCTTGCTTTGGCTTGCACTTTAATTGTTGGATGAACGCCTGTGATTCTTGTATCACTGGTTTCTCTCGAGATGCCAAGTGAATCAATCCACTGGTGGTGGGCATCAATGTAGACGCATGAACCGAGATGCGTATCATCCCGATTCCGGACGATTCAATCAATCTACTAAAAAGTGAAAACTTTAAAGGTTACCAATTCGAATAGCATTAATGCCTTTCCTCCGCAGAATTGCAAGCGGCCGCTATCATCGTGTGCCATCAACCTCGAGTATACTTCTCTTTTCACTCCTCCTCCATCTCTGTTTTCTCATCTTTTCTTTTTCTCTCTTGTACCTTCTCTTCCTCTCCCATCTTCTCTTGTACGTATTATTAGATTGGGAGATGAGAAAAATCAAAAGATAAATTTATCAAAGATCAACCAATAGATAAATGTATCACAAAGTAAATATATGATATGATGTTGTTCAATAACTTTCACCTATATTCATAAAAATAAAATAATATTTTAATATATGAAATTAATTATAAGATCTTTGAGTTATCCATATTCAAGTACGATTTTCTTGTAGAACCTCTCACATAAATTTAATGAACTTTTCTCTTACTATATTGTTTCTCTCTCGCCAAAAGCTTGAAATTCAATATGTATTTATAGAAACAAGTCCTAATTCACCAAGGAGTTTTAATTTAACTAAAACTCTCTCAACTAGTTTGAATATAATAAAGAATCAAAAAATTACTTACCAACTCGAATGATCTCCACTTTTAAAAGTAATTTTTTACTATGTGCCTTACGTAGAAATTGAACAATTAGCTTGAAGAATTTACTATAACTATGCAAACCAAATCAGTTCATAATCCAACACTTGATTCCAATAAGCCAGCTAATATATCTCATGTAAGCTATATGATTCCATAGAGACATCTGCATCTCACCATCTTATGATCAGTGAGATTTTTTTCCCCAACCATAGATATTCTAGAAACCATAAATATCACCTTTTATTTTCTGCATCGCAAACGAAGCTCGTTGTCATAGGTACTTACCATCTTCTCTTCTGTACGTGTAACTTGTTTCCAATCTTTTGAGATCTTTATTTTACTTCCTTCGAAATGATATAACCCTTAATGAAACCTTTTTTTAATAAGATCATACAACACCGATTAACTTTTATATTTTTACCTCTAGTCTTATAGCTATAAACTAAGGAATCTAATGACTCAAACAAATTATATTCTTCTATATCTTTAAAATATAAACAATATCCTCTAAAGTATGCATTACTTCATTGAACATTTTGATCTTCACTTTACCAACATTCATGACCTCCATCGATTGAATCATCATCCCTACTTAGCTTCCTAATCAACTTGTCATTCAGTAAATCAAAAAAATATTTTTGAGAGCAAACATGAGTAACACAAGCACTATCTAAAACCTAACTCTTTTGAAAAGATATATTGTTACTTTTAAATATTAATATTGTGAGGATGTCTCCATCACTATCTGTCACAAAAGAGCACTCATCGATATCTTCTTTTTGTTTTATTTTTTCCAAATTTTCAGCTTAATTTGTTTATTCTCTTTGCATCTATAGCAAAAATTATCATCCAAAGGCTTGACTCTTGATCTCAACTTACCAACCAGATTCACTCCCAGAAAATCCTCCTCATCAACCTTCACTTTGAGTAGCTTATGTCTCACTATCTATATTATCTTATTTATCATTTTTTCTTATAACGTGAAATACTAAAGTTTCTTTAACTTATTCTAAAGTTATCTTATCCTTCCCACATAATATGTAACATCTCCACAAAATTGACAAACAAATCGATGAGCAATATAAGAAGTAACAATTCCTTATTTTTTATTAATTTTTATATCAACTTTCTTTAGTTAATCCAATATTCTTTTGAATATATTTAGATATTCTACCAAGTCTCTACGTTCCTCTATCCTCAACCTATATAATTTTTATTTCACATACAACTTGTTAAATAAACTTTTAATTGAATAAGATTTTTTTGACTTATCCCAAAATAACCATAACATAGTCATTATTGATAATATTATTAGCTATGTAAAGACAAATAATTTGCCTCAAGCACCTCACAGTCTTTATCACTCATCTTTTCTAGTTTGTTTTCTCATTTTATTACTGTTCTTGTTAGATCTTGTTAAACAAGAACATCCTTGTTAAATCTTGATCATTTTATTTTTGGGGCTCTAATACCACTTTTTTTTAGGAAGGGAGAAGAGTAAAATAGAAAACCAAAAGAGAAATCTTCTAAAGATCAACAAATAGATAATGTACCAGAAAGCCAACGTAACATTTAACATAGTTCGATTTTCAGCTATATTTATAGAAAAAAAATTAAATTATTTAATACATGAGATTAATTCCAAGATCATTCGAGTCTTTTCCATACAAGCATGACTCACTTTTAGGTATTTTCATGTAAACCTGAAAAACTTTTCTCTTAGTCTCTATAGAAATTCTAAATATCACTCTTAAGAGCACCCAAAATATATTACCTATCCGTCTCACTAAAACTTAAAACTTAAAGTATATTTATAGAAATAAAACTATAACTCTCTAACTAATTTAAATATAATAAAAAACTCTAAATATACTTATCATCCATGATGCGATCACATATCGTAGGAAATAATAATATCAATCTATAAAGAGAACTAGACTCATCTTCTCCTCTCTTCCTATCCTTCATAAGACCAATATAAATGATAAAATCTCTCTTCTTATCCTTCATAGGACTAATATAAATGATAAAATAGGGACTAAGAGAGATGAGAGATGATTTATAATCTTTCTTCTAAATATAGATGATGGGATAAACAAAAGGAACAAACTTTGTATATGAACAAATACAAGCAGATCGTAACACATAGTGGAATTAAATGAAAATCATAATCAAATATGACACCAAGATTTATATGGAAAACCCCTCCAACCTGAAGGATAAAAACCACGAGGTAAATCAGAGAAAATCCACTATAAAAATAATGAATATACAAATCTCAAAATCTCTTGTCCAAAACTCAAACAACAATCTCAAGAGAATAACTTAGATACAATGACTATGTCACTGTGCACAATATCCAAAATCTCCCCAAATAATCACAGCAAGAATCTACTATAGATATAATCTAACCTGAGATGAGAACACTGCTTGGATGATTGAAAACAGTCTCTCTGTGTTGTCCTTGTCTTTTTCCATTTTCTTCTCTTATTTTTCTATCATTTTCTCCTCTTTTTGAATCACATTATTGCTATAGTTTTCTACCCTTGTTGTTGTAATTTTCTCCCTTATTGCTATAATTTTCTTCCTATTTTTCGCAGCCACCACACCCCCCTTATTAGATCTAAGGTTAGGTTAAAAGAGAAGTGAGCTATGAGCTACTAAAGCCCACTATGGGCTGAACTCGTAGGCTGTCAACCCAACAACCATCTCATGACTCCTCTACGTGAAATAATACCGACCAACTATCGACACATCTCTTGTATTTCTTTTGGTAAGATCTTTGTCAGCATATCTATTCTATTATCATCTGTATGAATTTTCTAAAGTTACAACTGTTTCTCTTCGAGTATATTCCGAATCCAATGATATCTCACATATGTCATCTGTATGGATGACATTCTGATTGTCACAATTCATCACATAATTTTTCAATCAAAATTCACCTAAGTGAATCCCGATATGCCTCCCGGCAAGAAAGCGGACTGCAAAAGGAAAACTAAGTGTTTTAGCCGTCCGAATATCGTTTAACCATCCGACTTACCTGCAAAAGGAAAACAGTGGGGTCCCAGACATTCTCCCATCACGTAGAAGGTAAGCTACGCCGGGAAGACGCAAGCTCAACGACTCGAGAGGCCTAGCCCAAGCTTTGAGCACATTTGCAAGTACAGCCCTCTACAACTACGGCTAGTTTGATCCCACCTTCCCACGCATGTAAACCAAGTAAGTTGTCATATACACGCACGATAGCAATTACTAAGCAATGACCTAAAAGATAAGCCCCCCAATAAATGGCAGAAACTGTCATAGAGGTAGAGCTGCTGCTTTGCAACTATGTTCACGACAAATACAAACTACAAAAAGCATTTGAGTGACGTTGAAGTAATCCACCAGCAAAATATTCAAAAAAGATAAAATTTCAAATTTAATCCAATGGATTGCCACATACCTGTATCCAGACATGAATGGGCATTCAGCAGAGAAGTTGTCACTTAGTACAACAGCCACTTGATCAGAACATAAGATTTCAGAGTAAATGTCATCAATCTGCAAATACAGGCTAATAACTTTGGTTCAGAAATATCGACCTCTCGAGTTATAAGCACGACCACCAGTATAACGCCCACGACTGCCGAAGCCACGACCCCTGGCGCCTCCTCTTGACAATTCGGCTCTCTCCCCGTAGGAGTCATAGTGACTTGCAGCATATCCACGCGGTGCATCATCGTATGTACTGACAGCATTGGGAGCGGCACCAAAGCCATGTGCATCGCTAGCTCCAGCATTACTCTGAAAGCTGTTCACATAAGCCTGTTGATATTGCTGATGGCGTGCCTGAGATTCTTTGTGGAGCATATCCTCTCTCTGGGTAGCTTGACGGGCTCGAACAGCCAGCAGTTTTTCTTGATATTGTGTGTTGATCTCATTTAATCTCTAAGGTTTCAAAGGAATATTGATGTGAACAATTAGAAACAATTAAATGATGAAGATTTAGGATATGAAAAGGTAGATTTTGAAATATAATAATTGGAACCAAGAAGACATCTATCTGAGAATAAAACCGAGCAAATAATACATATATATGTTATTGATGTAGATAAATAAAAACAAATATACCAGCAATTCCTTCTTAAAATGCACAGAAAGGAGCAAAGTTCATTGACAAATTCTCCTAAATCTGGAAGACCCTCCCAACAGAGAATAACTTGTCACAAAGTCTAGACAGCCCAGGCAACAGTCCCAACCAGACAGTAGAATTGGTTCTAGAAAATTATGCTTATGGGCATATGGGAATATTAGCTGAAGTCCAAAAGAAAATTAAATTATGGAGATTATTTATTAGCAGATTATCTGCTTTTAACTCCATGTACATGTGCGAATGTTCCTCCACAAACCACAATCTTATAAATCTAGCCAGGCTACTGGAGCACATTATATTGACTACTCGAACAAAGACCTGACACCATCAAAGGAATTCATGATTTTTGCTAGAAAATCACTGCCTAGCATTCTCCAAATCCTACTATTCTACCTATTAAATTGCAAAGCCTCTCTAATTTTTTCAAACTAGTTATATAGTTTTTGATAACCAGATGATTGCATCATGGAGATACAGAGACTTGAAACACCAGCTGATTAAACTGTCACATTGAAGAGTCTTCTAGTAATACATTTAACTGGTTCATTAAAAAAAACTTGTATCAAGACTTCAAAAAATTTCATGTTCTGTTGATATTTTTAAGAACATTTGCCTTATAATGGTTTTATCTATAGCCCTTCAACACTCGTCAATAAATTGAAAGGAAAAAGATGTTAGTTCCTACAAAAAAAAGATCCCCATGGTTATTTCAAAACTCTTCCAGAACTGTTATGATTCAAGTTTCACGCACTTCTTTCCAAAGTAATAACTAAACTTGAATTTGGATGGTGGATCTGAAAGTCTATACTTAACAGAAAATCAAGAATTTCTGTTACTCAGGCTTAGCTATCAACTTCACCAAGAGTAAATCAAGAATTTATCTTTTCTCTACAAGGTTGAGAAAGTTTGGAGATGGGTTGGTTCTCCTCCTTTGTTAGACCTATGGAAAGAAGGGAAACACAAACTCTTCCAAATCTGGTTAGTGGAAACGTGTAGTGTCCTGTTTCATGGTTTGAAGTATTTAAATACCTGATCCAGATGACCTTTAAAGTGATTTTGATTTGATTTGCAGATGCTTTTAAATACCTAATGCAAACACTTTATGTTTTGTTGGTCCTTGGTTTTTCTTTCTTTCTTCTTCTTGCTTTTGTTTCGTTATTTTATGCTCTTTCTTTTCACCCTGTACTCATTTTATTCTTTTATAGAATAAGCTTGTGGCTTCACTACCTTTGCTCTAAAAAGAAAAAAAGCTTGTGGCCATCACGTTTTTTACTCATACAAGGTGGCAACAGGATGTGCATGATAAATTGCCTAGAAAGAGAAATTCATAAGATATACAAATAAAAAAATACATCTAGTTTATTACTTAAATTTTAATGCCTACAACTTGAAATGATACAACACCAGAAACAACAAAAATATTATGAGGTAAATACAGAAACTTTCTGTCATTCATCTTAACTCATAGTGAACTAGAAAATAAATTTGCAACAACATTATTATAATTAGTAAAGCACCTATGTCTTAATAATTACATTGTTTAAATGTAAATTTACGGTTCCAATTGAAACATGAAGATGCAATTATATCTCCAAGATATAATTGGCTGATCCTCAGAACTATCTATGTTGAATCCCTTCATAGTCATGATTACACTATGACAAAATTATAATCAGCATACGTAGGTACTATGTTGACTAGAATACCAATATTAGAGATTTTTACCTCACCATTAGTTAAGATAATGGCATACACAAATTTCATTACCCATGGTCAGCTCATAACATTTGTACCAATTCTTGTGTTATAGCTTTTAAAGTTGAGGTATATAAACTTCACAAATAAACTACATACAATTTTTGATGTTCGTAACAGGATTCGCTTATAAAACTATATTAATATCTCCTAAACATTTTATCAGGCAGGTCACACGGCAGCAATGCCGCTTCCTACACCCATGAGGGACATTAGAGCAACAATACCAATTCTTGTTTTCAAAAGGGAGAACCAAAGCCACATACCGAATATATATGTATACCAACACTAGCACGAGGAACAAAAAGCCACTTACTAATTATCAAATTATCAGTCAAAGTTCTATTGCAAATAAGAACGACATTCAGAAATTGAAAATAAACGACCAATCCAGCATCGTCAATAAGGTTCGGCAGGTCATTTTAATGTTATCAATATATGGACCAATAGGTCCAACACCCAAGTGCAAGACATTTTTAACTTGATGATTATTCTGGATGATTGTTTATATAGTTATCAAAAATCTGAATCTTAGGTAACATGAATTAGATCCATTACTTACTTTGAAGACCTTCTAGAGTTTCATTTCCATGTATCCACAAGTTCCTTGTTGAAAAATAGATTACAATAAATGAAACATATAGAAGTCCTAACTATGAAAATAGAAATATAATTTGATGCATCATTGATTTACCATGAGTTATAAAGAGGAACTGATAAACCAATTTACCAACTATTGTTGCTGTTCATCATACAATCACATAATATGTCATGGTACTCAAATGACAAGTACCATTATCCTATGTCTCTTTATTAATAACTATTTTTCATAAATAGGAAAACACCTAGGAAAAAAGCAAACTTTTATGGCCCATTTGACCACCAAAGTCCCGACAAAAGTGCTCAGATAGTTTCTCAGCTTGATACCTTCCATAGCACTAGGGGCCTAGACCATGAGAGCAGCTAAACTACATAGGCAGCACTTTGGTGACCACCTATGCAACATTGATTGGTACCACAAAATCCAGCTTAAAGAGATAGCTTTAATTAGCACATGTATGAAAAGTATTAGAAGTTTAGCTTCTTTTCTACAGAAAAATAAATATCCAAACCTTAAGATTCGTATCTACCAAATTTGTAAATTTACCTCTCTGTGTCTAGCATTTTCTCTGTCCTCTGCTTCCTGCTGCTCCTTGGCCAAGTTCATGATATCATTAAGAAATTTCTTTTCAAGACCTTCAAATGTTTGAGGAAGAGTGCTATCATCAAATGTGGCCACCAACTCGTCTTGACGGGCATGTGTTCTTGGGTCTCTATTTATCTGCATCTCCCTACCTAATTTTGAATCAGACATTTGTGCCTCGTACAAAGTAGACAAAACATCACTTCCTTGTCCTAAATCAAAATTCATCTCCTATTTAGTTCAACAAGGGTAAGTAGACAAAAGAACCTTAAATTACCATTGGAAAGAGTGAAAACAACAAGATTTGCAGCGAGCAAATATCATATGTAAAACACATCTTTTAAGGCACTATTACATGATACAAAAATTATATCATGACTAGAAGAAAATGTCATCTCTCTTGTTTTTGCAATAAGGTAACATTGTCCAGCACTTATGTAGTAGAAAACTAATAAGTGAAGCTTCGCGTGGTCTTTTATTAGACAATATTTATCAGAAATCTTTACTTAAAAAGGGAAAAGAAAAACTGAAAGTGATATGTCCAAATGATGCAGCCAACACTTGAGAACCTTCGAGTCCTTTGTTTTTTTATAAACAAAACAAGCAGCCTTGCTTAGGATATAGATTCCTATATTCAAGTTAGTTCAGTTAAGAACTTCAGTAATTGTAAATGCAAGCTTTCCAAAAGCCTCCATTGGAACTTCCACCCAGGTTTTCCTAGGTATGACTTCTTTTGAACAATATCCACAAAAGACTTTGTGAATCAGTAGCATAAAAAAAAATATATTCCAATATATTATCGGATATAAAAGATGTGTATTGATTTTCAAATGAGACTCAAGTGTCCTTCTTCTATACTTTATAAACTGCAGATATTATCATTTACTCTTATAATAAAAAAAGATAGAGTTAAATCAATGGAAAAATAAGAAAGCAAGACAAAGCAACTATTTTGCTTTTGCTTTTGTCAGAAAGAAATGGATGCATATGTTATAGGCAAAACAACACTATTTCTAGCATGATAGCACTCATGCTCAATTTTGGTCATTATACTATTCACCTTATTAGTTGCAACGAGTCCATCATCGGATGATCCAGCTCTGAAAATGATGCATTGTTCACTAATACAAGCAAATGCAAATTTATTTTTTCAAATATTTGTTATCAGCATGCAAAATAGTTGGTTTACAATTGAACCTGTCAAGGCATTGTAAATTCAAGCTCAAAGCCAAGCTAAGAAATGTACTTGATTTATAAATAGGACCAACTAACACTCCATGGCCATGTGCAATAGAAAATACTAGTTAGAAATAGAGAGTATTGAATCAAATTTACAGACCATGCAAAAAGTTTGAGCATCAAAAACACACTAACCTAACAAGTAGTATCGAAAAAGACAGAAGACTAAAGCAAATCTCATGGCATTAGGTGGCAAAATCACCATGAAATGGCACAATTTTCAATCTCAAGCGAAGCAACACCTGCCTTCTTTATATAGTTGAGATGGGAGCTGATTTGATCCCTTTGTCCCATCCCTATCCCACTGCCATTGTCCCTCTGCTTTAGAAGGCATATAGTGATGCTCTTCACCATGTTGAAAAGAATCTGACCCTCCTGGAAAATGACTCATATCAGAGCTGTGTTGTAATCTTTGTCCCGACATGTGCTGCATCTGTGCAGCCATCGCAGGATTGATGTCAGCATATTGTCCTTGACGCCTCATTTTTTTCCACTGGAAAGAAAAGACCCAATCCGTTTACCAACATGAATGAAAGTGCAAAAAAAAGAAAAAGAAATAGATTCAACTATCCTGAAGAAAATATAACTCCAGTACAATGAGATTCTTCTCAACATTTGGTAATCTAATACCAATCCAACTGGTCCAAAACATATAAGCAACCAAACACATATGAACTTTCACCCTAAAACAAAGAAAGGTAAGCAAGAAACAATATCTATGTGACACGCTGTACCCTTCAGTAGGAAATGGTGAAGGTTTTACACCTCTAGTTTCAAACAAACTTTTAGTGTCCAAGTTCAAGTAGCCAATAGGGCCATTGTAATGCAATCACACATGAAAAAATTAGAAGATACCTGCATCTTAGAATAGCATATTGCAATTTTGTATCAAAGAGAAAGTACAGAAATATTACCTGTGCCTTATCAAGGAAATTTTAGTGTAAACTGAAAATGAATAAGTTATAATTACATTGATCCTCTACTTAAAAAATCCAAAATTTATGCCGTGAACAGAGTTACATTCAAAGATGAAGAGCATGAACTTGTGATGCAATGTAATGCTGTGGTGGGTACTATAACATCTTCGACTAATCATATGCTAACTCTGCATATGTACACTTTCAAGAGTACACTGCATGCGCACATATTGGTGCTCTAGACATTTTTTGAAGAATGTTACTGTCAGGTTTAGGTTTTAGTTTTATGTTAGGGAGGCATTTCTCTTTATTATTGGTTTATCTAAGATCTTCTTCTCGCTCTATATGCTAAAACTGGTAACCAAAGTTATAAGTAAGATATGGTGACTTCATATACTCGCCTGCTGAATATTTACAAGAGAAAAAAAGAAAACAAGAAGATGCCGCACCAAGTTCAAATCTATTGCACGGAAGCATTTCAATGAATAGATATCTTAGCTGCAATAATAAGTGCACCCAGAATCTATCGAACAGAAGCATTTCAACAAAATACCAGAGAGAAATAAAATGTCAAAACTTATACTGATCAGCTGAAAGCAAGAAATCCAAACAAGTGGATAGTAAATTAGTCAGAAAAATAGACATAAACAACATCTTTTGTATCAAAAACACGGGCAATAAAAAAAAGGGATTACATTCTTAAAAAAGAAACCTCAAAATCATTGCAACATAGAAATGGAAATTTTTACATAGGAATGCCAACTAATGGCATGAATAGAAAAGCTAAAGCTGCACCAAACAACAACAAAAACGAAAATAAATTGGGTTTCGCAACTTGCACGATCCATAAGTCACAAACCCATTGCGGTGTTTAACGAAACAATACTGGTAGCTGCCTTGTCGAATGTCAGCCCCGTAGAATAGAATCCAACCCCCATGTGCTCCAAGCTGAATCGCTTTGGTAAATTCCTATCCGTTCCTAGCGTAACAAGCCAACCACAATCGAGATGGAGAAACCTAAGTTTCGAACAAAAAAACCATTTCGACACGATGTTGGGATAGAAATCGAGCCCTGATGGGAGGGCGAATCCAGGGACGAACTCGATCGAGATCCTCGTGGTGAAACCCTAATCCAAAGTAGGGAGATTTCATCTCACCTGGCGTTGGCCTTCGATTCTTGCCGGTCCTCGGGCGATCGGGTATGGTTCTTGAGAGCGCTACGCCATTTAAGGAAACGGGTTTTGTTCGGATCCGATAAGAAGACCGATTAGAAAAGAAACACCATCCACGTTTTCCGTTTCCCGTTTCCCGTTCGTTTCTTCAAGCCCTTTCGAACCCGGAACCCAGGAGATTTAAACACCTTCGGCTCCGAACACGGGCTGTGGAAGAAGCCTTCGCAGCTGCCGCCGCCCAGCTATGTCCGACGAGGGGGAAGCTCTCCGTCGCCGCTACCTCTGTGGTAGGGCACTTCCGAGAAGTCTCTGAGATTGCCCCTCCCCCGGCAAGGACATTCCCGCTCTTTTGTCCGCAAAATGGTCCTAAATTACTCTTTCTTGAATGAATTAGCAGAAGAGGGTGGATCCGCCGTCCCCGTACTCCACCGTGAAGTGGGGCGCTGGACCGGAACGAGAGGAGGAGATCACGATATCGGGTATGCACCGCGCCATCGCCTAACCGACTCATAGGAAAGGCAATGGAGAAGATACGTGGAGGCCATGCCTCTATTACTGTGAGCTGAAAGCTTTTACCTGTGCATTACATTGTTCTTTTTTATGTTTTCTATGGTCTGACGAGAATGTGCTTGTGATATCTAATTGCTTCAATATGACTGATAGAATGTCCATGACAAGTTACAATCTTGATGAAATTTAAACTGCTCTAGCTGATGGGAGAGCTGATGTTGTTGTTCTATTGTGTAAGATAATTGTTTGAGCTGATTCATTACAGTGTTATGTAATTTCGGAAGTGAGTTAAATTTGATTTTAATACCAAAATTTTGATAGAGCTTGCAAGGGCTAGAAAGTGGATCATAATAGTTTGTGTTTTTGAGTGCATGATTACAGAACACTTGTTTGCTCAGTAGTTTAACTCCTTTTGATCCTTATATATCACAATTGATCTGAAAATGTTTCTAAAAGTTTGAACTCCGTCGAGGAACCATGGCATATTTTGAGACAATTGAAAAGTATTATCTCGTTGAAAGATTCTATACATGAGAATTTCTTTATTTGCTGTTTCCATATGGTAAATATTTCATCGAACATGGAGTGTGAATCAAATGCATGACTGAATTGAGACCGAGATACAGATGCATGCAATATCTTCCCTTCGTTGGTTTGCATTCATCCCAAAGAAGTCCTTAAAGAATTATGATATCTGCAATTATTGTCGGAAAATGTTCAGGAGTTGGCTGTTGCAGCTTTGGATATATACTAAAAGGAGCATATCAGCCTTCACCATAAATTGATCAAGCTGGATCCAGTCCCCCAGATATGGTACTTGAGATCTTTCATGTGCATGCACTGTGTTCATAAGATTTACGTTTGGTTCCATGCACATAAGTTGTGTGGTTTGTGATGATTTTTTTATTTTTTAAATTGTAAAAATGTATACTTTCATGTTGTCTTTTCTGGTTGTGTTTTCTATTGACTAAAATTTGCCATGACAATGGTTTTTTAAATATTTTATGAAAATATTTTTTTTTTATTACCAAATTGATGAGAGGACCAATGTTGTTGTCTTTCTTTAGTAAGTTAATTGTTTCCGATGATTCACGTCCACGATCCATGGTCTATAATTGCTGTTGTGAATTGAATACGATGCTTTTGTGATGTATTTGAAGTACAATGTTAGAGGGCAGTTTGCAAGTGTTCGTGGGTTGTTTAAGTTGCTGAGGAGTTACGATTTCTACAAGTATTAGAACATGTAAACACATTGGCCTACTTTCAAATCGATCAAGCTAGAAATAGCCCAAGATTTATGTAGACTAGCTACTGAGGATATCACATGTATGCATTAGGTTTGATCATGTAGTCATCTTTGGATAAGATTTATTATAGATCTGATTGGATTATAATCATAGTTATCAACCAATAAAAAAGAAGTCCAATTATGATAAGATTTTTTAGAAGATGATTTTGATGAGAGGGACGGTTCTATTTATTTATCAAACTCTTCGTTTATAAATGGGTATGATATCAAAAGAATTTTAGATCTATTCATCTTTTGAATCATTATTTCAATCTTGTATTAATATTATTTTTGAATCAATTTGTGATGTATTATGTCCGATCTCTGAATTTATTCCTCCATGCTCATTGCTCCCTTACGGGCTATGTAATATAGGTGAAATCATGAAAAAAGTATGCTGCTCGTATTTGTTCATTAGGCTATTGTTGGCGGCTTCGTGTCAATAATAATATTATTGAGGGTGACAGCCTTCATTGGTCATCGACCTAATCATGGGCAATAGTTGTAGGGATGGTAGTGTTGTGGCATGTAGTGACGACTACCTATGTGCAATAGCCTAGATGCTACGATAGTTTATCTTGGTCATCGTCGCTTCACGTGCAACGAGGTCACTACATAAGGTAACAACTCTATTGGGCACTACGTTTGATCGACGATTGTAGTGATGCTACTGCGATAACATTTGTTAGCCACGATCGACATCAACGGGACACCGGAAGCTAGGGTCACCCAACAACTATGTGACAGTCGTAGGGGTCACTGGTTGACTGTGAACACATGCACGATTGATAAGGACTCACACGATAGTGATAGTGGAATGTTGCGACAGTCGTAGGTGTCGTCGATCGACGACGAAGGGAGTTCAGGCTATCGATGCTGTAGGAGATAAACTATGGCACACTATGGTAGCTGCAAGACTTGCATAGAATGCTACAGTTGAGGGAAAAAAAAAGATTAGAGTTTTTTTTAACCTATTAAAAGATTATTTTATCCTTATAATCTTTTTTAATTCCAATCGGTGTCCTCTCGATAGTTCAGCTCTTCAAAAATTAGATATTTTTGGTATATATCATGACAGAAATAAAACTCTAACATATAGCTATGAAGCATTAGCTATTGATGCATCTTTCTGTAACTATTATTTTTGTTGTACAATTTATATTATGAGTGGTTGACGCATTACTTGTCGTGATTTTAGTTAGTTCATAGTTTTTGTTTTATTAAATGTTAGTCAAATAAAGTAAATCAAAATATTTGTCATTTTTCTATTGGGATAATATTAATCACATGAGCATTCTTCCACTGTTCAACAAGTTAGGTGGACGTTTTTGCTGTCTGCATTTTGGAATGCCAAAACAAAAGATGTTTATGCTCCATGAGCAAAAGAGACGTAGGGCAACAAAGCTTACCATTTTACTTATCTTAATAAAACACACAAAAATTATGCTGTAGTTGTTGAAAGTCTCATCGGCAATCTAATTTTCATGAGCAAGATTTCTTTTCATGAGCAATCGTCACTGAAACTGTATTCTGCTCCATAATTGATGCCGGAGAAATTCCCAAAACATGTTATCAATCTATTCGAAAACTCACGACAAATTTATGAGTAACATAATGTTGATGGTAAGATGGTTTCCGTGAAAAGGGAATGCATCCATTAGCAGATGCTTACAGGATGAGGCAGAGTGTTTGGAGCAGTTTACCTGTCTCATTCATACATTACAAGATGAGATCCTTCTTACGGTTCAAAATCTAGTATGCTGGTGATTGTTCCCAGATTAGTGACATCGAATGTATTCTCGACAAAGATTGTGCTACTTCTTCCATGCTTGGCCGACTACCTGCATCCCTCCTCAGACATCTCTCGATCAATCTAACCATCTCAAGACCTAAATCTGAAGGATATTTGCCTGCCAGCAGAGGATCCATGAAGCTTCCAAGCTTCTCCATGGCATCTCCTCCTCCTCCTCCTTCGCTAACCATGGTGACCAACGCATTCCATGAGAACTTATCCCCTCTCTGTGTTTCCGAGCCATCTCTCCCGGTGATCGTCTCCATCATCACCACGCCGAAAGCATACACGTCGAGCTTGGGAGACACCAGTCCGTGCTCCAGATACTCCGGCGCCAAGTAGCCCTTCGTCCCCACGATATGCCTCGTCAACACGAACTCGCCGTCTCTTCCCTCCGACGCCCTCGCCATCCCGAAGTTGGCCACCTTCGCCCGCATCGTCTGGTCCAGCAGAATGTTGCTGCTCCTGATGTCCTTGTGCACGTACGCCGGCTCGGTGTAGCTGTGGAGGTAGCTGACGCCATTGGCGACGTCCACAGCTATCTGCATCCTCTGAACCCAGCTCAGCACCTTGGAACCGGATGTGTCGAAGATCCAGTGGCTTAAAGGCCCGTTATCGGCGTACTCGGATACGAGGAACCACTGGCCTTGGTTGAAGCTGATGCCAGAGAGCTTGATCAGATTGAAATGGTTGATCTTCTTCAGTACCTCGACTTCCTTGGACACATCCCCATTTATGACCTTCACTGCAGCTGCATCCCCATTAAACATGCCTCTGTAAACTGATCCTTCGATGAGGCACTCGTAGCTAAAGTTCTCTGTTGCGAACTGCAACTCCTCGAACTTGTACACTCTCAAGGCGTGCCCGATCTCGGATATCATCGTCTTTACGTCTTCTGATGCTTCTTTCTCGTAGGATTCCACGTCTGATGATTTGCCATATGCTGTTCCGTAGGTGGTTGAATCATTGGAAGGAAGAGCTTCGCCTACCTTCTTCTTCTTGGCCTTAGCGGCAACACAGTAGATCGCGACAAGCGCAGCCAGGGCGAGAGCGCCCGCGGCGACTCCGATCCCGGCGTAAAGACCGGCGTGGCTGGAGCTGTTCCCAGCCGGAGGGGGAGCGGCGGGAGGTGACTGCAGCGGCGGCGGAGGCGGAGGGGCCGCGAGCTGGGACGTGTTGGGCTGGCTCCGTAGGGGGATGAGGAGGGTCGTGAAGGGGTAGATGTTGGTGCCCGATATCTCGTTTGCTTCTTCGATGCTCTGCTGGTCCACCCCAAACCTGCTGCTTATGCCGAAGATGGTGTCGCCGTTATCCACCAGGTAGCTCAGCAGGTACTTCACGCCACTGGAGGTCTGATTGCTGGTAGGACAAGCACACCGAAGAGG